CATGAACTGAAATGTCGTTCATAAAGCAGTGTGATACCTATTTTGCCCCTGCTTGCTTTGTTTATTTTGTTTGTGCCATGTTTCACACGTGTTGGTCATCGAGCACTGTTCTATAACAGTAAAATGGTGAAAATGTCCTTGCAATGTTACTCTAACTGCCTTTTGTTTTGGCTTCTCTATAGTGAATTCTCAGTTTTGCCCATGCTGGCCATGCGTCCGTCTGCTTCCATACGATGTCGACATGTTGGTCTTCTGGAGCCTTCCATCCTTTTCGATCCATGTCTCATAAACGCTTTTCTTCCTCTCAATCCTCACGTTTTCTGGCTCACTAATCTTGGGTTCTCTGTCTCTCTGTCTGTCTCTCTCTCTCTCTCACTTGCTTGCTAAGAACGACGAACCAATCAAAATTTGTGCAGATATTTTTCTGGAAATATAGAAATGATGCGTTGTTCTTCCTTCCTTCCGTCTCCCCATCCGTTGGACAACATCTCCTCCATTTCGACCTCTCCCTTGGAAACTGATCGGAGACCTCTTCAAGTTTCTTTGTCATAATCTCTGGAGAAAGAAATTTGATTTTTTTTATTTTTTAAGTTTTTGGTTTGTGGGTTTTTAATTTTTGATTTTTTGTGCAGGTAAAGAGGTTTCTTTGTCAGAACCTCTGGAGAAAGAAATTTGAATTTTTTTTTTTAATTTTTTAATTTTAAGTTTTTGGTTTGTGGGTTTTTAATTTTTTGGAGAACCTTGCATTTTGTGAGTTTGTTTTTTCAGATTTTTATCTTGGTTTAAAAAAAAAAAATTCTTATGTTATATTTAAAAATATTTAAGCTTGGTTTGATTACGATTGTGCCTAAACAAACCTTTAGTTGTTTAACTTGGACAGAATAATGTGCCAATTAACAACTTCCGCTCCGCAAGCCAGCAGTCTCTCTTGCTTGCTTAATCTTACAAATTTGACAATATTATCTTTTGAGAGAATCCATTAGTTGCTTTGCTGCTGCTTTCCTTTACGAATCTGTCCATTTTCTATTTTTGTGGTTAAATTTTTGTATAATGTTATTGTGTGAGATTATGGTTATCTTATCATTTGTTTAGGTTATGATTTTTAGGCTCATCATTTCTGTGTTTCAGCTATGAACATTTCTGGTATTGACTAAGGTATTAATCTCTTTGTCTCAAAATTTTAAAATCCTATTAGTTTAGCGAACTTTATATATTATTGGGCAATATGGTTATGCTTTCGTTGTGTCTGAGAGACAGAGCACTGATCCAGTTTGTGATTAATTGCATTTAGGGGTTTTGATTTGGTCATGATGTTGCAGATTGAGACAAGTTTTGGAAAAGAAAACAAATTTAATTAAGTTTGGAGTCGACTTTATTTGAGTTTAGAGGGGAAGTTCTCTAGCCGATTTGGGTGGGTAATTTTGTGTTTACAACTGTGAATTCTGTGCGCATTTCATTTTTCTGATTTTGGGGATTTTATTTCCAAGCTAGAATGTCGTCGTTTTCTAAAGCTCTCTGTACCCAAGGTAAGAAATTTAAACTTTTGGTGGATTTGGAGTTTTGATTAAGTTTGATCACATTGTTTCAGTATAATAATTTACATTGATTAAATTGGAGTTGCAGCAAAGTTCCATTGCGTTCTCGGATGAGTTGGTTTGTTCTAAGATTCGGATAAAAAATTATTCCAATTTGGGTATATATACATTCAACTCCAAACATTATATAACCGCAGGTATGCAAGAATCAATGTTGATTTAAATAGACAGCATTATGTATGTATTAAAAAATATTTGACACCACAGTAAACCTATTTAACTATTGACTTATCAGTTTTGATCATTTTTCTCCCCTCAAACAAAATGCAAATTTAACCGTGCAAGGTTAGGAATATGCACCTCTCTCCTTGGGGTTTTCTGTGACGTGTTTTAATGGAATTATAGACTTGAGTAATTAGATATTTCAGTGCAGTTATTTTTTTAACAATTTATGATGCTATTTGTAAAAATTGGTCAGGTATTTCTCTAACAACTATAATATCATTTAATTCCAATTCATAATTACTTATTTTTTTAATCTGTTAGTAAATTTTTGTACTTTATGTCCAAATACATATATAGTAATGTATACATATAATTTATTAAGTTTTTTAATGTTGCCGATCATTTTGAGTGTGTTCATTTCGTGTGTAGAGAATGAAAACTGCACTGCTCACAAAGGCAAAACAAGGAATAGCTTCTACATATGGGAATAAGAGTGGCTAGTTTGATCGTAATTGCTTTTTTGATTTGGTTAAATCAAAGTTAGGCTTGGGTCTAATTCAGTTGTTTGCTTGCACTGGTTGAAGTCGCTAGCTTTATAATGCTGGTGACCAAAATAAAACCCGAGTTCATGTTAAAATGATATCATAATTTTCATTATGGTGAGAACTGAGAACTTAGACCCATTTTTTATCTTTCCCATTTTTGAAATTTAGAAATTGAATTACTTTTCTTTACCTTTTTGTGATCATGCATTGAGAATTTGTTAATTGTATTAATATTATGAGGTAGGATTTATACTTTCTAAGATCCATTTCTCATGTTTAGAGATTGCTTGATTCAATTAGATGTGATATAAGTTGATGTGTTTATACATGTAAAACATAATTTTTCACACAATTTCTAACCCCACAGCAGCGCAGGCCAAACTTTCTAATAAAACCTAAAATTTAAATTTTAAATTCCTTCCAATTTGCTCTGACTCTTGGGTAAAACCACCGTTCCGATTAATACCTAGGCGTTTGAAAATTAAGAAAGGGCCCATAGACCTACTGAGGCGCTCGCCTAGACCGCCTAGGCACCTGCCCAGACTCACCTAGGCATCGACTCACTTAAGCAGAAAATAGATAATTTTCATTTTGCATTTTATTTTTTTTTCAATAAATTGTAAGAGACTTGTCGAATACTTAAATGTTTGTTCCCCATATTTTCATTATCTTCTAATACTTCATAATATATGTGTCATTCTATTTTGTAGTTTATGATGAAATTATATATATTTTAAGTATAAACATACACTTATTTACATGAAATATAATGGATTTAATTAAATCCGCCTAGTGCCTAGGCGCTAGGCCACAGCTCGCCACCCGACTAGCACCTAACGTCTTTTAGAATCTTGGTAAAACTGATTTTTGACCGACAAATTTAACACAAGAAACTGGGTTGGGTTAAAAATTCTGACCCACTCTGCCCGTGGACGTGCTGAGAAAGAGAGAAATATGCACACTTTAACGCGCTAAAAGGAAGGCAACACGCCAAAAAGCAAGGGAAAAGGGGATTTGCTAAGAGGACTGGGGCCCAGCCTGATGAAGTTGTCGGCCACCATGTGCAATCCCACTTGGTAGATTAGTGGACTTTAGCCAAAGCGACCCTTTATTTCCTGGGAACTTCCAAGCGCCACCACACCCCCCCCCCCAAGGGGGTCGACGATGCATCTCATTTTTCTAGTGAGAACCGATGAAGGGGGTCGTTGCCTGGCAATCTTGGGTTTGTTAAGAGCAGTTCCACCCTAAAGACTTTACTCTAGCACCTAGCGTATTTATCCACTCAAGTAAACAGTAATAGACCTCAATGAATAGTAATAGGCCAAAGTATCTCCACCCTTAAAATAAAAAATAGGCTAGTCAATTTTATTAAAATATTATTATTTTTTATTATAAAATAATAAAAATTAATTATTTTATTTTTAATTTCTGACTTTTTTTTGGGGGGGGGGGAGGGAGGAAGCATAGACCGTTAATCTGTGATTGGACGGTCCAGTTTAAAAGTGAAATTCAAATTTTTTTTACCATTGGAAATCCAACGACAGAAATTGGGCCGCGTCGCTCACCCGGGGGAGATGTTAGTGTGCCTGCACCATTAGGCCCCGCCTCTGATTTTGTTGTCTGTTACTCGCGCCCATGTACCACACGCCACGCATAACAACACAAATGACCCATCCCAAGGTCTGTCAAAAATGGGCTGGTCTGGCGACTAGCTTGGGCTGGGTGCTAGGCAAACACATGGGCTGGAGTGAATTGATAGGGTGCTAGCCTGGTTTTTTGACTGGGTGATGGGCTATTCCACCTTCGGTGGAACTGCTCTAAGGGGCTACACGAGACTCACATTAGGTTGTTGATCTTGTGCTTGCTGATGGCTTCTTCTTCTTCATCTATTCTTGATTGGAAATACGATGTCTTCTTGAATTTTCGAAGCGAAGACACTCACAAGACCTTCATCGGCCATCTCCACAAAGCTTTGGTTCAGAACTCAATCAACACCTTGTATATCAGGTTTGCTTACACAAGACTAATCATTGTATTCTCCTTGGCCTTTTAGGACACATTATATGTGTGAACTACATGTTTCTTCTGTTTCTTAAACAGAACTTTTTTGGAAACCATCTCTTTCTAATCAAAGACTTTCAGTTTCTTCCCACTCATTGTACAATGTGTTTATATGCCAGCTTTGTGTTGAATTTATTCAATTTAAATGTGTTTTATTCATCTGATGATGCCTGAAACAGCTGGTTCCCACAGCAACGCGCGGGCGTAATTTCTAGTGATAGTCTAAAAATATACGTCAAATTTAACAATATGCTCGCACGCGCATTTCATCGTATTAGGAGTTGTTTTATTTATTTTTGAATGTCAAGTAAAAGAGTTAACAAAGTTATTTTTCAACCAAATCATAGGACATGTCACAAATATTTAGCAAAAAGACACAGAAAAGGGAGTCATCAGACCTGTGACCTGTTACACCCGCCCCTGCTTATAAGGATAATTCTGTAATTCTCCCTAAAACATTTATAGAATTATCACTTTGGTCCTCATTTTGTCACACAATCAAGATCTGAAATTTAAATTTTTACCCTATCACCTAGACTGCCACGTGGCAGCACCCCAACTCCCTTACTTTTTCTCTTTTGTCCCCCCCTTCCGTGACACCTTTTTCTTCTCCTTTTTCTTTTTCTTTTCTTTTCATTTCTTTTCTTTTGGTTTGTCTGCACTTTTCTTTCTCTCTCTCTCAAAAACTCTCTCTTTCCTCTTCTTCCTCTTCTACCCGTGAAAGACACACACACACACACCCATTGTTGCACCTGCTTGAGGACACAGCCACCATCATCATCACCAAACCTTAGCTCTCTCTCTCTCTCCCTTGCTCACGGCACCAAGAGGGTACGAGCACCTCCGGCGAATTTAGCTTGTTTTCCGGTTGGGTAAGCATGGTTTCTCCCTTCTTAGTCTTGTTAGAGGTTGGTTAAATGTAGTTATTGAGTTTGGGTTCTTGATTTTCAAGGTTTTGGAGTGTTTTTGGCAAGGGTGGAGGTACACCCAATTTTCCGGCGAGTGCGTGTTTTCCGAGGGATTTTCCGGCCACCACAAGCCGTTACACGGCGAACCCAAGGTATAAAACTACTCCTCTCGGCTAGTGCTTCATTTTGGTACCTAGATCGGGGTCTAGGTTGTAGGTTTGGCGTCGACCGGAGCTGTGGAAGCTCCGGTGGTCTTCTCCGGCGCACCCAGGCCTTCGGGCCGTTCTCTACCCACACCCACGGGCCTTAGGCCCGTTTGGTCTTTGGCCCAATACCCTCACCCTTTCAGTTTTTATTTTTAGTTTAATTCTTTTAAAAACCCAAAAGGCCTTAGGGCCTTGGTTGCAGCCCAAACCCATTTCCCCTTTTTAATTAGGCCTTGGGCCGTGAGGTTCAAAAACCCAAACCCATTTTCTGTTAGCCCAAAAGCCTAACCCAAAACCCATGACCCATGACCCTGACCCGTAACCCATGACCCTGACCCGTTGACCGTGACCCGATCAACGGTCAACGTTGACTTTGACTTTGACCTGTCAACGGTCAACGTTGACTTTGACCGTTGACTTTTTGGGTTTCGTGCGGGCCCCATCCTAGGCTAATTTCGACGTTCTGAACCCGTTTCCGATGTCCGTTTTCCCAAATTCAATCGTTTGAGTAGAGTTTGACTGAAAGTAACAATTGTGTGTTTAGGTGCGATTCTTAGCGGAGATTTCGTTACTCCTGTTTGATACGGCTTGCACCATCGGTGTACGGTGAGTGGACCCCTTCTAAAAACGCATGTTTTAATGGTAGAATTGCATACACAGAAAAGCATGACTTTACGATTATGTTTTATGAAACGTTTTGAGATAACATGCTTACTGAGGCTATTTTGAATTATTACTATTTTTCCTATAACCCATGTTCTTATAGAATATCTGATGGATGACGATATGATATTTAGAACATGTTTAGAACACTTCTTTATAGTATAGATGATGGATGACTTTATACTATGAAGTTGATTTTCAATATATGTATGTTCACTGGTTTTGTACTTACCTAGTGGTCCTTTCCGCTACGGGACGTAGGGATAGATCCGGTCCGTCCCGGGCGACGGTTTGGTGTTGGCATAGGGCCTGGAGTGTGTTTTCCTCTGACTGTCTGCTCAGAGACGGGGAGCCGGCACGGGGCCTGAAGTGTATTTTCCTCTGACTGTGTGCTCAGAGACGGGGAGCCGGCATGGGGCCTGGAGAGTTATATCGGACATTCACTAGTGTTTATTATTTATGCGATTTATGATTTGAGACATTGCGCGTCATGCTAGATTTCGGAAAACCTATATTTATCATTATACTTGTGTTTTCATAAAACCTGGGGGTTAGTATGTTGATAACTGTTTTACTAGTACTGTATATATAAACTTGGTCCACTCACCTTTGTTTTGCGCCCCCTTCAGGACCTTGGAACGAGGATTACGACCTAAGCTACGAGGCGTTCCCCTACCAATGATTTGTGTCATATTCGCTCCGCTTCGCCACTTATTGTAATAGCACTTCTTTATTCTTAGTTCTGTTTGTACTCTGTATTAGAATTATGCTCTGGGCGTGCTGTGGGTTTACCTAATTTCAATATTTAGAAGTTGAATTTCTAATTGGGTTTTTAGCCTTTATTACGTACTTTAGTTTATTTTCTCAGTTTTTGTTTTAATTAAATGGTTTCGTCACCCTTCGGGTGTCGGCCAGCACGTGACCATCTCGATGTCTCTAGGACCTCGGGGTCGGGGCGTGTCAGATTTGGTATCAGAGCCTATCCCTGGCCGGAAATGTGCCGATGAGGACGTCGGGCCCCTAAGGGGGGTGGATTGTAACATCCCACATCGCCCAGGGGACTGATCCTTAAATGTATATTCCCATCCCTACCTAGCACGAGGCCTTTTGGGAGCTCACTGGCTTTGGGTTCCATAGGAACTCCAAAGTTAAGCGAGTAGCGCGCGAGAGCACTCCCAGGATGGGTGACCCATCGGGAAGTTCTCGTGTGAGTTCCCAGAAACAAAACCGTGAGGGCATGGTCGGGGCCCAAAGCGGACAATATCGTGCTACGGTGGTGGAGCGGGCCCGGGAAGTCGTCCCACCCGGGCCGGGATGTGACATGACCAATTCACCAATGGGGACTCCCATGACGCTACTACAACCCATTGATTAGTTTATATAATTGAGTAATTTATCTCCACACCCACAGAACGTGGACCACATTTGTTTTAAGGTGTAACTGGAATATAAAGTTTACACAAAAACTAATGAGTGAAGAGATAACATTATTGGGTTTAAATAATTTTTTTTTTAAATCAAGTCTTCTCAAAAAAGATTGATATGATTTAAAAGTTGTTCGTCTATATTTGTGATATTCCATTCCAAAATTTATTATTTAGTTTTTGTATTTTGAATTTCTATGTGTGTTTGATTTATATTTATTTATTTATTTATTTTTGAGCCGTGAGAAGAATGCTTTGATGGGTGTTTTGGTCATTTTACATTTCACTTTGGTGTTTGGAGGTGGGTTTAGAGGCAAGATAGAAAAAATAATTGCGATCCCATAGCGCAACGGAATGCTCTAACTTGATATCTTCTTTATATTTCTTTTTTATATTTTGAGCATTTTGACTATATGGCAATGTTAGTTGTGACTTAGAAACTTTCTAAACTTTTCGAGTATTTTGATAAATATGCTACTTGTGATGAGAAACTCTCTAAATTTTTTTTTTGTGCATGCGTGAAAAGCATGGGGTAACAGTGCTCAACAATCATCCCATTATCATATTAAAATTAAAAGAGGAAATTTACGAACAAAGGGGACATAAAAGCAAAACTTGTTGAGGAAATAACATAGCAAGTAAGATGGCAGGGGAACCTAAAAGCCATCCATGGACAAAGTAAAATAAATAGTAAAAATAAAATCATCTGAAACAATAATTGGTAGAAGCTGAAAGATTATGACATAAGTAGAAGCTATACGCACAAAGAAGCTTTGGATCATCAATAATATGCATCATGATCAATTCAAACGGATTAACAAAAATACCCTTAATTTAACCAAGATTTTTCATAGAATAACCAAAATAATTGATGGTAAACAATTTCAACAATCACTTCTATCGATTTAAATTCAAGAACCAAACTGAGAAATTATGTCAATCTTAGAGACTATTTTAAATAAAAATTAAAATGCTTAGTAAAATATGAATGTTACTTTCTTTCATTTATATTTTTTAGACTAACTTTCTGCCCCACACTGCGTGTGGACGCGCTGAGAAAGAGAGAAAGCTGCGTTCTTTGACGCGTTAAAAGGAAGGCAACGCGCCAAAAAACAAGGGAAAAGGTACATGCTGAAGGGACTGGGGCCCAGCCCGATGGGGTTGCCGGCCAACATGTGCAATCCCACTTACTTTAGAGCACTCCCACCGTTGCATTTTGCTTGGGGGACCGGCTCCAGAACAAAGGCCCGAGGGCCGGTGGAAGGCGTCCAGCGTGACGCAGGCCGGGGGGAGGGGGGAGGCCCGAGGGCCAGGCCCGTGAGGAATTGACAGGCCTTGAGCCCGGGGTAGGAGTGACGTCATGCTGACGCCAGGGTGGCGTCAGCGTATTATTTAATTTTTTTTGTGTCAGGCGCGTGCACCCCACCCACGCGTGGGGTCGCGTCCTGACAGTTTAATCAGAAAAAAAAAAAGTTTTGTCTGTTACCGTTGGGAAGCCACGTGGCTTCCCACGGTACGTTAGATCGTAACGGTCACTTAATGTGGACCGTTAGATCTCAACGGTAAAAAATTTTAAAACTGTCAGATTTAATATCCACCGTTCGATCTGAGATCAACGGTGGATATTAAAATGCTTTATAAATTAAAAAATAAATGAAAAAATAGTTTAAAAAATCTGAAAAGTTACCGTTGTGACACGTGGCACAATCTGGAGCGTTGGAATTCAAATTTTTTTATATCCAACGGCAGAGATTAATTAATTGAAAAAAAATTCAAAAAAAAGTGTAAAAAATTCAAAAAAATTCAAAAAAATATCTGAAAAATCTGAAAAAAATTGTAAAAAAAATTGTTTTTACTTTTCTATAAATACCTTCTCATTATCATCTACCTTCACAACAATTTCATATTTTCTCAACTACTTTCAATCACATTCCTTTCTTTGTCTCAAAGTTTGAATCCATTTTTTTTTCAACAAAATGACCACTGGTGCAGGTACGAATTGGTCGCTTATTGAAGATGTTGCGTTGTGTACTAGCTGGGTTGAAGTTACTCATAGTTCGCTTACGGGTAATGAGATGCAGTTGCGAGAAATGTGGAGTCTTATTCATACCAATTATCTTGAGAAAATTGGTGGGAAAAGAACCAAAGAATCGATGTCCAGTCGTTGGAAATTACTTAGCCAATCGTTTAGTACGTGGAGAGACGCTTTGGCACAAGCTAGTAATAATATTCGAAGTGGGGAAAATTACTCGGATATGGTAACAAGATATTATTATTTATTGTTTGTATTCTTTATTTGTTACGTACAAAATTTATTATTTATTGTTACTTATTTGTTACATTATAATTATGTTGTTTGTTACATTATAATTATGTTATTGTTACTTATTTGTTACATTTATTTGTTACATTATAATTATGTTGTTTGTATTATTTATTTGTTACTTATTTTCATTAAAAATGTATATATATATATATTTGTTAATTATTTTCATTATTTACTAAACTTGAAGCCTTCTTATTTGCTTTGTTACTTATTTTCATTATCTTTGTTACTTATATATATATATATATATATATATATATATGTATATATTTGCTAGTTACTTATTTTCATTATAATTATTTATTTGTATTATTTATTTGTTACTTATTTTTATTGTGTAGGAACTTCAAGCACAAGCTTGGTATGCTGCCAAAACCAAAAGCAAAAATAAATCATTCAACCGGTGGGAATGTTGGAATATTGTCAAAGATTGTCCTAAATTTAGAGTTGTGCCAGTTGGTCCAGAAGTGCACATGAACAGCACCCCTCTACACTCTACACCCGATCATGTTCATGAAGATGATGCAGAAGAAGTGCCCGAAACGCCCTTCCCTGAACAAGCGTCGGGTTCGACCCGTTTTCCAATTAGGCCTCAAGGTAAGAAGGCTACAAAGAGAAAAGGGAGTGCTTCCAAGAACGATTATGCAAAGTTCATGGAAGAACTTACTCGCCAAGGTGAATTGACTTTGGCGAGGGAACTGGCGAAAGATGAGGCTGATAAGGCTGATAAGGCATCAAAAGCAGCAGCTGTTGAGAGAGAATTTTATGCTAATGAGAGAGAAAGAGAGCTACTTAGGCAAGAAAGGGAACATGTTAGAGAAGAAAGACGAGCTCAACAAGATCGTGAGATTATGAACATGTCTTTAGAAGGGAAGTCTCCAAATTCTAAATTTTTTTGGAAGTCAGAGAAAGCGAACGTGGTGCGAAGGAGGCGTGCAAGAGAAACAATAGCAAGCCAAGGTGGTTCTAGCACCGCAAGAGAAGATCATCCTAGCAGCACAAATTGGTTAAGTGATGATGAATAGAGTACTTTTTGTAATCGGAGCCCATAATTTTCCAATCACTTTGGGTTGTAATTTATTATTTATTGTTTGTATTATTTATGTTGTTTCCATGTTCATGAATATTTATTCAAATTAATTTGGTAAGTTATTTATATTAAGAATTAATTTGGTAAGTTATTTAATTTGGTAAGTTATTTATATTAAGAATTAATTTGGTAAGTTATTTAATTTGGTAAGTTATTTATATTAATTTGGTAAGTTATTTAATTTGGTAAGTTATTTATGTTGTTAAAAGTCCATTAAAAAAACATAGATTACATATACTAAGAATTACATAAACATAAACATAAAAAAATTACATAAACATACCAAATAATAAAACACACCAAATAAAATAACATAAACATACTAAATTCAAAATAACACACTAAAATGAACTTAATTATCTTCAGCTTGTTTCAATGCCCACTGGTGCTCTATCAAGTCAATTTGTCGGGCATTGTGCATGTCTGGCATTTGAAATGCAGTATATCGTTGAATGAGCCTTTCATTGTAACGTCCATCCCTTTGTAATGGCTCATGTTGCACGGGGTCATCGGTGGCGTCATGAGCACAATATATACGTGTTCTTGAATTGTTCATCGGGTCTGGCTCATATTCATCAACAGCTTCATAATCGTACTCATCTTCCACAATCATGTTGTGAAGAATGATGCACGTCATCATGATGGATCGAAGCGACTCTACATCAAACAATCTGGCAGCACCCCTGACGATCGCCCAGCGAGCTTGGAGGATACCAAAACAACGCTCCACATCCTTCCTGCACCCCTCTTGACAGCTTGCAAAGTGTTTTTCCTTCGCACTCCGCGGACGTGGCACTGTTTTGACAAATGTTGACCAGCGCGGGTAGATGCCGTCAGCTAGGTAGTATGGCCCGTCGTACATACGTCCGTTGA